AAGCGGGTTGCAGCGTGCGACTCTTATACCCCTGTCAGACGGGCTAGTTTAGTGTCACTACAAGTGAGTGCACTTCGCCCTTAGTGTCATTTCTGTAGTGTGCCACACGGCTCCTTCCTGAGGAACACACTTCGCTTGGAGTGAGTTTGACGAAATCACTTCGCTCGATCGAGCGCGTGGAATCAGTTGGAGTGTTTCAACAGTAAAACATAACAGCACAGAAACCAAAAGCGTGGCGTAAGTTTTATTTTATAAAAAAAAAAGAAATTAGTGAAAGCGACATGTAAAAGAGTGACATTGTAAAAACAAAATAGTAGGGTGGACTTGGAGTTTAAGCTGATCTGAATCAAGATTAGCGGAGCGCTGAATTGATAAAAGACGACGACAAAGTCAGTCATCCATGGCTATCTTGGTTCGCAGCGAATGATAGAGCCTACTTTTGTTTCAGCATGTAACTATTCGAGACAACACGATAATTATGATCTGAATAGGCAGTGTCAGGGCCCCCTCGTAGACTTCCGTGGAACGAAGCGGAACGCCAAAGTTGGATATGCTTCGTTCTTTATTTTGGCTTGCGATGATCGATCAGAATCATCCAATTTGCATAAAAATCGTTCATTAATGTAACGTTGTTTTAGTGCACAGCTCCTAGGCACCCATTTCTGGGTTGAGCGGCGTCGGCGTAACCGCGCGTTGCATTAAGGGCTGTTTCCCAAAATTACGTCACACGTGACGTCACGCGTGTCGTCACGTGGGACTTCATGAGGGTAAAATTTTCCCGCTAAAATTTGCGGTAAAAGTTTTTGCTAAGTTTGGCGGAAATTTTTTCCGCTAAATTTAGAGGGAAAAGTTTACCCGTGTGACGTCACGTGACGTCACACTTAAAATTTCAGATGACCTGTCATCTAAAATTTTCCCGCTAAATTTTGAGGTAAAAGTTTTTGCTAAGTTTGGCGGAAAATTTTTCCGCTAAATTTAGAGGAAACATTTTACCCGTGTGACGTCACGTGACGTCACACTTAAAATTTTAGATGACGTGTCATGTGATGTCACACGTCAATTCAGTGGGAAAATTTCCCCACTAAATTTAGTGGGAAATTTAGCGAAATTTTTACGCTAAGTGGGATGGGAACAGGAGAGGAGGATGGGAGGGTACGGAGGGGGAGCAGCTGGCATACCCTCCCCTTCGTACCCTTCCTCCCTCCTCCTCAAGAGCTGCACTCCAATTCGGCATTTCAGAGAATTGTAAACGTCAATTTTTTTTAACGTGTCTTTATTAAGGGGTATCGAAGCCGAGTGGGCTAGCTCCCACCTGATCGGAGTACGTGAAGAGGAAGCTCGCGCTGGAGAAGGAGAACCCAGTGATCCTGAGCTCAATCCCCAGCCCTGCCCGAAGAACACACTTCCAATAAAGTGAGTTCGGGGAGCACACTACGCTCGCTCCGGTAGACCAAGTGTGTAATCTCGATAGCAGTGTTCAATGAGTTAAAATAATAGAAGAAATTAACGCTACGGTAAAATTAGTATTATTTTGATAGGACTAATATTAGATGCACACTTGTTTTCTGTTGGCAGGAAAGTAGTGCATTGTAGAAAAGCAAGCGGCTAATCTAGTTTCCAGCCTTGGCCCCTGCGCGACGGCCGACGAAGGCCAGGAGGCACCTGCACGACTCCACCAGGAATCTGAAGGTGGCAGGAGAGACGCGAAAGACTTTCTTGAAGTAGAACTCGCCCAAATGGGGCAAGGTGTCTTCGAACCACCGTTCGTTCCTCTGGAAAGTCCACCGTTGTCGACTGATCACGGGTAGGTTGTCGGTCATGAGAGTGGCTATGGTGAAGGCATTGGCCTGCAGCTGCTGATCGATGTCACTTGAAATTCTTGCCTGTGCGTCGGCATCCAGGTCCAGCTGCCTCTTATTTGAAAGGCGTTGGGCTCACACAGAGAAAAGTGCCCCAAACATGCGCTTCCACTGTCCAACATCGCGGATATTGCCCTCCAGCTCGTCCTCCACACACTCCATGATGTTTCATTGTGGCGAGTGGCGAGTGGCCGAGTGGGCTCGCGCACACCAGCTCGGAGCACGCGGAGCGAAGGCTCGCGCTGTAGAACTCAGGAATCCTGGGTTCAATCCCTACTTCTGCTCGTTTCGATCCGTACTCCGTTTCACCTTATGTTGTACCGCAGACAAGGCTAGATGCGCGAGCTCATAGCGTTGGGAGCTACTTTTAACGCACGAGAGCTTGTGCCGCCTTGATATGCCCTAGAGCAAGGAGCTCGCGCATGTAGCCTTTTCTGCGGTACATCATAAGGTGAAACAGAGTATCGTACCGGCGTGCGGACGTGTATCACTGGCTTGTAATGGCTGATCGTAATGATGAAATTGGATTTAAATTTGGATTAAAACTCGTGACTTAGCGCAACAATATGTGGTAACGTGTTTCTAATAAGACGACAAAGGTATTTATGAAAAAATGCGTATGCACTGTAATATGTTGCGTGCCCATTACTTACCCATCGTTATTGCCATCATTTTGGAGTGACACTAAGTTTTCCCGTGTAGCACCAACACACTTGGAGTGTGTTTCGACGGGTTGAAGTGCACTCGCTTGTAGTGACACTAAACTAGCCCGTCTGACAGGGGTATTATTTACCGGGCAGTGTGAGCTGGGGCTACGTTATTCGTTTCCTCTGTATTGTTCTTTGTTCCTACCAACACCGCAAGAGCAAATAAACAAACGTGTAACGTGCAGGTAAAAAACACAAAAAAGTGAAGATTTTTTATTGTTTAATAGTTTTGTCGTGTTGCTTCCGCTTTGTTTGTTGTGGACTCAACACCAACGGCCAGCACCACCTACTAATTTTCAATGCTCCTACCGACGCCCCGTGCGATTGTCGTCGTTGAAGGAGGTCTTTGCTGGGTGATTTGTAGCTTTGTATCGCCTGCAAACTTCCTTGTTTCATTCGCCATGTCCGCGGCTGTTCCCCATTTCTTCTTATATTCGTGTGAGATGGAGGCCCAATCTTTTCTGCAAAGTTAAGAATGTGTTTGCACGGAAATTTTTCTAGTTACTTTTTGTTTTTGTAATGCTGCAGAAGCTTGTGCGCTTGCTCTGGTAATTTTAAGATGTTTGCGCAGGTTTGAATAATCACTTATTCATTTAAGAAGTTGTGACAACGCAGTTTGTAAGGGATAAACAGTGACCTCTTACGACGTAGTTCGTGTAGCTAAGCGCCTTTTTTCTGCTTCCCAGATGCGCTTCAAACGCGTGTGATCCCCTGAGTGGCGTTTGAGACCGCTGAATGAGTTGCTCTCTCTGTTTATGCCCGAGTTGTTGTTTGTTTGTCGTTGCAGTTGAGGTAAGTGGATTCCGCTTTGCAAGCGGACTGACCGTAATGAAAAATTTTCTGCTGTTAGGGTGACGAAACCGGGCTCGCAAAGCTCGAGGACGTTGCGGAGCCTATGCTTTTCCATTGCGTTGTCTGTTTCCGTAGACTCTGAGTCCACTAGAGGCGCCACTGTCACGTTCGCGTCGCTCCCATAGGTTTTCGGAGGAGTTTGCAGTATTGGCGAAGCTATATTGTATTTGATTCTAGTTTACTCTTATCCCGAGTGTAGAAGACAAGGAGGCCTGATAGACCTTACCTACTCAGTCTTACCTTGGCCCACTAACGTACATTCTTGGTCGAATGTTCGAGAGGCCTAGTGTAGTAGATAAGGAGCCGAGTGCGGCTTTGTCGACTCACAGTCACCTGTCACGCCGACGCATCCTCGCTTGCTGCTGCCGCAATCGACGCTCATCCTTCCTTTTGTTTTTAAGCAAAAGTTTGCTGATTAAATATTTTTTTTGTTTTTGGCTTGTCGATTTGTTTCCACCTGCGACATTATATATCGATTACGGACAGTTCGTTTGATCACACGGATGTGCACTGAAGCAATTGTGCTGTCAGACATCCTTGAAACGTGTGCTGACTTGCACTTCGACCTTGGTACACTTCACGTCGTCGTCGTCGTACGTAATTTGGCTTCACAGTATTTTTCATTCCTCAAACATTGCGGAAGCGAGCTTCAGGGGAAGGCGTTCGCGCGCTTGCGCACCTTGAGCGTCGATCAAAGCTTTTGCACGGGCACTCCTCGCTTCTGAAATCCCACAGAAAGTTCACCCAGAGATTGGAAGTTTTGTCGGTAGTTACCAGCCTCATTCAACGCGGTCGTCTTCTCCCTCAAAAAGGTCCATTGAACCCGTGAGGCCGTTGCGTCGTCTTCTAGCAAGGCAAAACCGGCTGTGACCTCTTTATTACAGGCTTTTTCATCGCATTATGGTACTGAGACGATAGAAAAAGTCTTCATGATTAGATATTAAGAAGGCACAGTGTTTATCCAAATTATTTACGTTTTTATTAGACAATTTCTAACGTTACATCGGGACCCTACGCATTCGTCCGTAACAACGGCGCTAGCACGGGGTCAATTGCAAGCCTGTCGAAGTCAGGTTCACGCGCACGCTTCGCGTTCTGGTGCCCATGGGGCACCAGAACGCGAAGCGTGCGCGTGAACGAAGTGTTGGGGCGCTAAGCCTGCAATTGTCTTTACTGAACTAGAATGCACGCACGAAGGGTGTCAGCCAGGAGGACTCAACTCATTGTTTTTGTTCTCGATCAACAAGGGTATATGTATGCCTAACGTTGGTGAAAGTTTAAGAACTCAGTAGGGGCTTGGCGTCGAGCGCGAGCTCTCTCCCTTGGGTAACACCTCGTCGCACGCTCAGACAAAACCAGGCAACGAGAGCGTGCACAAGATGGAGCATCTACGGGGTCATACCTGTGACACCTTTTGACAAACGTTGAAATTTGATGTCAGTTCCATCGAATGACGTTATAGGCCAACCAGCGCGCAAATGGCGCAGTGCGATGCACGCGCGACACTTGTAAGTCAGACTCGCGAGTTGATTCGCCGATCACTTGAGGTCATACGATGGGAAAGACGGAAAACATTTCCCATATGGCGACGGTAACCTGTCACTGTGTGTCCTGTGGTTTCTTCCACTTCGTCCTTGTCTTTGCGCTGCTTTGTTTTTATCTGTCACACAGTTAAACTTTAGTTGCAATTTGAGCGAGCAAGGTGTAACGGCTCAGATTTATTTTCTGTCAGGGACGTTTCGATGTCAGCGGATTGCAGTAGCTTCCTTGTTCCGCAGATGGCACCGGGGGCTGCCAGCCAATCGGCGAGTTCGAACAGACCAAGTCGCTACGCAACTTGCGGCTCCAGCCAGGCTCTCCCTGCAACGGCCTGAAGGGCTACTGCGACGTGTTCCACAAGTGCCGCGACATCGATGAGGAGGGTCCGCTGACCCGGCTCCAGCGTATCTTCTTCGGGAGCCAGTCGATCGGCGCCATCCGGGACTTGATTACGGTAAATTGAAATGTCTGTCGCCATCTCGCTATGCATCTTGACACGCTACACGCGTCATGGGTCAAGGCTAGTGTGCCTAGATTTCAGTGTTTACAACCGCTCGTCGGGGTCACGTGGTTTGTGGGCAGCGTCTGTGATCTTCGAGGAGTAAGTGGGAACGTCGATCGCTATCCTCCCCGCCACTCGGAAATGCGCGCATACGCACTTCTGACCGGCCTGCGCAGAGGCATCTGCAATCTAATTACAAACGCTCTCCATGGTCCGAGTTGCTCTCTCTCTCTCTTTCTTCAATTTAGACTCTCTAGTCAAGACAAATTCATATAGGAACCATTCAGAGGCACTTTTTGCTCGTGATCGTCTGACTGCACGATGTAACAATCGAACGTGACGTCATAATAACACGTGACGAGAATTCCGTTTCAAATTTAGCTTAAATTCACGTCACATTACGTGACATCATGCGATGTCAAGTCACGTGACCACGCCACTGGTCACGTGACGTCAATCTTCTATAACAATGACTGACAAGTGATCTCTTAGCTTCGTTGGACTGGATGGGATGTTTAGCGCGGGACAATTTTATCGTCGTGCCGTGCGACTGACGTACTGTTCGCCGCTTTTCAAGCACGATACTATGTTTTCGTAGAGTTTTTTTAACGCTGTGTTTGTCCTGAATGTCGGGGGGACAACTTTCTGTGGAAGTTTGGAAAAAGTGACGAGTGCCCGTGCAACGGCTTGGGTCGGTGTTCGCAGCTTTGTCTGCCTTGCCTCAAAGTTTTCTGCGAGTGTAGATCCTGGCCACGTAGCGCTGTACATCAATGGTCGCAAGACGTTAATATAGAATCTCTCACTGTCAGACCCCCTCTGCTGCTAAAGAAAGAAAAAAAAAATGAAAAAAAGAGCTTTTTTTTTGTATTCATTTTAATTTCTGTGGCCACACCCGGTTACACTGATATTTAATATTGAACTGATATTTAATATTGATACCATAAACACCCCACCCCAGAGGTGAGAACAACAAAAGCAAAAACAGGCACGTTTCATTCTTGCCCAAACATGACATGGCAGTCATACGCTGTGATCCAATCTGGAGGCAATGCTGATGCTGCAGTGGCACCGGTATACGGTTCAACAGCACTCCGAAGGTGGTTGCGACTGCTGTTACTTAATTAGTTCAATTTCACTCAATCTTGAGTCAAAAACAAGCGGGCTTTTGATTGCGCCCGTAGATGAACCTGAGAGTTTGTGCTTCGGCGGGCGCCCGTGTCTTGTAGACGTGACCGGAAGAACCTTCCAAAGCTCTGACCAGTATTTGGCATCGGTTTCACTACCCTTGAAACAAAGTATAGCGATTGATAGGTGAAATTTTATTTTAGTTTGGATACACCAACAAAGGTAAACGAAAAAAAGAAAGAAATTGTGTTATTCACAGCTTGAGGCCCCGGCACTTCTAATTATCAGTAGTAAACCCGGTACAAAACACTTAGAAAACTTTGAAATACGATGTTTCGAGTGAATGAAACACTTGATCTACACAGCAGCACAACGTGTTGCTGTGTAGTTCAATATATAGCTTTAGGGGTTAGAAAAAGACACCTTTGACGGCTATACATTTTCGATTCGCATAAGCAACTTCTGTCTTTAATTCAAATAAGTTACAAGTAAAATAACAAATCACGAGTGGCAACAATTAAAATTTCCAAACTTACTTTTGAAATAAAATTTGAACATACTAGGTCATAGGAAAGTTGTTTTTGAAACGTTTAAACATAGCCACGGAGAATAATTCAAACCAAGTACAAAACATTCTTAAGTATTGGATATCGGGAAACTGCCTTCAGCTTGTCAGATTACGAAGTTGAGAATATTTAAAAATAGTGTCTAGGATACACTGGCAGCTACGAAGACGAAAAGAAGCTCAGATTTGTGCTACACACACACACACACACACACACACACGCACACGCACACGCACACGCACACGCCCACGCACGCACACACACACACACACACACACACACACACACACAGACAGACACAAACAAACACACGCACACATCACGCACGCACGCGCACACACACGCACGGGTACACACAGACATGCACGCGCGCACACACGCACAGGCACACATTCACGCACGCACGCACACACACACGCACGCATGCGCACAAGAAGAGCACAAAGAGACGCACGCACGCACACCCACGCGCACACACACACACGGACACGCACGCACACGCACACAAACGCGCGCTCGCACACACACACACACACACATTTATAAAGTACAATTCATTTCCTCTTCTGTTCAAGTGGCCATAACCCTGAGATAGCTTTATTAGAAGCTCGCTCAACAGGCGGTCATTTTCAATATTGTGCAGAAGCATCCGATTGTCGCCGGGATCATCTTCATAGTGTTCCTGTCTTTCCTGGTGCTGCTGTTCCGCTGCTTCGCGGTGCACACTCCCACCAGCAACCCCCACAAGAAGCAGGCGCAGAAGCTCAGGAACACCATGAAACACCCCATGAATATCTTTGTAAGTATCTCAGACGCACTAACATCCCGAATAAACGCCCTCCCACAGAAAAGAGATAAAAGAAAAAGTGCACTAGCTTGAACATTCTTTCAATGATTTCCCTAATGAAAAAGAAACACACCTTATTTGTATGAGAACTTCTTGGTGTTATAAAGGCATATAATTAAATAGTATTATATACGAAGATGTAAGGACCATACAAGTGCATATGAGAAGTTATAAGAAACGGCTAAGAAGTTCCTTATACATTCTTATATAATCTTCCATTGTTCTTATATGCCCTCCTCTAAAGGTCCTTATATGCTCTTATATTGCCTTGTCTGAGCATATGTGTTTATTGGGCCAAAAAACGTCCTGTACATATAAGATTTTTTTACAATGGGGAGCACAGCATGTGCTCTGGATGAGCTGGGCACATACTATGTCTTTGTGAGATCACGTAACGTCACAAAATTGCGTGATCTCAAGACCTCATGTGACTACACACCTATGACGTCCAATATGACGTGACGCTGTGACGTAACGTAATCTTGTGGCGTCACTATTTCAAGTGTTGTCATGTGACATCGTTATACATATTTAAGGATACATAGAAACAAACATAAGTTATGCATACACACAAAAACGACAACACGTGATCACGTTTATAGTATTAGAACAGCACATATTCGAAATAATCGGCTGATAGAACATTCTTAAAAAAAAAATAAGAGGGGTGAGTGATTTTCTTGGGGTGGGCCATCATTTGGAATTTTACGGTAGGTGGCTTAATTGTCTCGCGCTCTAACCGTACACTTTCGTCTCTGTTTCTCCTTTCAGAAATAACGTGAAGCCGTAACCGAAATAAAGGTATATATTTCATAGACTAAACCACAGCCTGTCCAATGGTTTTATTGGGGACATATCATGGCGAAATGATTTCCTGGCATCTCAAAGGTTGGCCAATCAGCCGCAGGGGACTGAGTGGAGGTGGAATCCGAATAGCGTTTAAGAATTCGGCTGTTGCTTATCCGGTAAAACTATATATAAATGAAAAAAAAAAAAAAGCCAAGACCGCCAGGTGGGTCTACTAACAGCACAATTCAGATCGAACTCTTTAGAGTATATAATGTTGTCTGTTGTTAATTCAGGAAAGTAACAGCCCTTACTCGAAGAGAGAAGTAGTCAGGTACTATCTAAATCCGTGAAACGCTCTCTACTATTGCGCCCAAAGCGCAAGAGTCCAAGAAAAAAAATTGGGTTGTGTGTATGTTTATACAGCCCAGAACTTGGCCTGCCTCAACGGGTGATGAGACTCCCGGCTCTAAATGAGAAAGTTAGCCAGCGCAGTAGAACCGCTAGCCTGGGATTTTTAACGTGCATAACGCAGTAGTGGTCCACGACCGCAAGCCGGCACGATGCTCATCCAGATCTGCAGAACCCAGTATCATGGGTTCTGCAGTCCAAGCTTTCGCTCCACGAGCACCAAGAACAGAGTGTGCACCAACAGCACTTTGTCTGAGGAGAGGTTGCTCCTGGTGCTTTGTGTTTTTGGCACCTGTTATACCCTACACTCTAAGAAAAAAGTTGGCCTCAAGGGACTAACGGCAGCATTTGGTCCTCTGAACTCTCAGTTGCTCCCCGAAAGGACCATCTGGGCCCGTTTTTTCGAAGCGCTAACCGCGGCTAAAGTTAGCCGCAGTACCTAGGAGAGGGATTTTGAGATCACGTGACTGGCTCGGTAGGGATGCGGGGGAACATGGCGGTGCCCCAGTGAGTGAGCGCCGCTCGCTTTGGAACTAATATGTCGTTGTAGCTGCAATATCCGGCGCGTTAGTCAGCAATGAACGGTGCAGGAGGCTTTCGCTTTGCCTTACCTCACTTAAACTGCAAAGCATTGGCAATGACATCGCCGCATTTTTTAGATAGTGTTTCGATTCTGGGCATTCATAAGCCTAAATGCACGCGATAATTGTCGGCATGGCAACGTCTTTGGAAAGCGGATTGTTGATAACACACAAAAGCAGACAGCGTCCCGACAGACGTTTTTCTAAATTATCCAAGTATCGCGAGGAGAACGCTGGAAGAGTTAAGGCCTGTTCCCACATGCAGCGGAGCGCTACAAGCATTGCGCTTACCTCGCGCTAAGCGTGTGCTGATGGGAGCGTTCACCAGTTTTGTATCAAAACTGTTGCTCAGGGCAGACGATAAGTAGCTGACGGCACGTGAGGAGCGCTACATCAGCGCTTCGCTGCATGTGAGAACCGGCCTTTATTCTACGGTCCACGCGCGCTGGCCTTCCTCTTATAAAAGATTTGAAGTAAAACATCATAATAAGGCTTTAACGAACGAGCGTGCAAGGCAAAATTTGTTTTCTACTTTTTGCTTTAGAACGGTTACTACTGCAGACGCCAGCACGTGCGACGCGTGCAACTACAGTCGTAGCATGCACCTCGGTACTTGGATAATTTAGAAAAAAGGTCTGTTGGGACGCCGTCTGCTTTTGTGTGCTATCAACAATCCGCTTTACAATGACGTTGCTATGCCGATAATTATCGCGTCCATTAAGGCTTAGGAGTGCCCAGAATCGAAACACTATCTAAAAAATGCGGCGATGTCATTGCCCATGCCTTGCGGTTTAAGTGAGGTAAGGCAAAGCGAAAGCCTCCTGCACCATTCGTTGCTGACTACCGCGCGCGATATTGCAACCACAACGACATATTAGTTCCAAAGCGAGTGGCGCTCACTCACTGGGGCACCGCCATGTTTCCCCGCATCCCTACCGAGCCAGTCACGTGATCTCAAAATCCCTCTCCTAGGTACTGCGGCTAACTTTAGCCGCGGTTAGCGCTTCGAGCAAACGGGCCCTGGTTCAAGCTTGATACCGTGCGCAAAAGCGGGGGCTAACTGCGCTCGACTGGGACTTACGGATAGGCGTGCGCGAGCAAAAGCAGCCATTAGTCCACCTCAGCCAGGGTGCATCTGTATGATTTAGTCCCCGAAAGCAAACGGAATGATTGCTAGGAGGACGGATGATATTTCACTTGTCTTGGGGATCGGCGAGACTCAGCCCAGCACGGCTGAAAGTGTTGACAAAACTCGGAAAAAACTGACGAATTTGATTAATGTGCCAGGAACGTTCAGACATTACATGGTAGAGCTTCGCGCGTTGTGCGAATGCGAGTTAACGAATGTGTTGACTCTACTTCACCCAACTATCTCGTCAAAAATTATCTGTTGGCATTTCACAAGTCCCATTCACGTAATTTTCCCTCGCGCAAAAAAATGAGCATTTATCCAAACGCAACACCTCCAAATACTAACACTTTTTTTTTCTCTTAAATGAAATTTAAGAGTTTGTAGAAGACGCGCTTTCAACACCGGAGTCTCGCAGTCAGAATAAATGGTCACTTCAATCACTAAAACTGAGTTACTGAGAACAAGTCGAACCTCGTCTCTGCGTCTCCCCGTAACCAACCTTTCTTGGTAGTCCAATGTCAAACTCAAAATCCACAACGACACACCTGATCAGACATGTACAAATTACTCAAAAAAGGTAATTAAGTTAAGTTACTGAGTATCGACGCCAAATGTAATTCGAGTAGAGTAGAAATTACGCATTTGTAATAGTAATTGAGTAAACTACTAACTACTCTAAAAAGTAGCGAGTTACTTTGAAGTTACTTTCGAAGTTACTTTTTTATATTTTTGTGGTAGCAAAATGAACAGCAGTTTTGATCAATGAAAAACCCTGCGAGCCTAAAATAAATGCAGTCTAGTTATAGCTTGCGTTTTCGCCAAAATAGTTTATTCGCTCGCAGAAGCAATTGACTTTAAAAGTTCTTGATAGGAGAGTTTTCCCCTTTTCCTTTTAAAGACGTCCCCAGCCGAGGTAAATAGACGTTCCACCGTGGGACTGAATAGAACGGCAGCGTTGAATTTGAGAAACAGGCTGTGCAGGGTCGAGTAAGCGAGTGTCGGCATCTTAGGTGTCCATTACTAAACATGTGAGGTTTGCTCGGAGTAGAGGATCTTTTATAACAAACTTTCCTCCTTTTTTTTTCTCTTCGTCAAGTTGAGATTGTTATGATTGGCCCCTCTTTATTCCGACGTCGTTCTGAGAGTACGCTGAGCGAGTGCACCAGACCGTCAAGGGTTCAAGTCTCGCGCCACGATGATGAGATCATCCGGACGGCTGCGCGTCCCGTTGTAGTGCTAGTGCTACGCTACTGAAAAAAAAAATGTTTTGGTTTAACAGATGATGAACCGAAGTACACTTCGCCGCTGACGCCGGGTCCAACAAAACGATCTCCCAAGGGTAACTCGCAATCCTCGCCGGCGACAACAATATTCTGACGTGCCTGACACGCCTGACAAGTAAATCGTTTTTAACAAAGAGGAGGTCTCCCAGGCATGGATGGTCGGAAGGACGCGAAGGATAAGCGGGAACGTGCTCCCATGAACGGATTATCCGTGCCAGGGTTTGTGCGCGGGGAAGTCCGGCTTTGCAAAGGCGTATGCGCTGACGACAAGGCGACCATGGGAACAGGCGCCCAGCTGCGAGGTCATTCCAGTGGCGCCTCCCGTGGAACCTACCGCTTGAGTCAGAACTCACCAAAGGCTGCGTTTACATGGATGCGACCGCTGCGAATCAAATCGAGATTTGACTATTTTGATTGGTACCAGACAGGTAGAAGGGGAAGAAGTAGGAAGACAGGCTGCGTGCGATTGGTCCCTGCTCGATTCGATGCGCTACGATCGCATTCATGTAAACGTAGCCAGTGACAGACAACACACAAACAATAACAACTCTCGGAGTGTCCCCGTCTTTCATGGTTGCAGCTGGAAACGCGGCGCCTGCGTGCATTACCGGATTAGGTCAATACCCGACCAAGGCTTCTTAAGCATCTCTTCCTGCGTTCATGCGTGCCGGTGTTATGTTTTGGCTGCTCGTCGGTACCTTGGCCCAAGGACGCCTTCCCGAACAAGGGGGCCCCTTGTTCGGAAATGCCACTTTATCTGCCGGCGTCTTATTCATTTCGGCCCTCAAACTTTCGTGATGGGCAAAATTAGCACTATATAATTTCGAAAGTAGTTAGTAATTTGAGTAGAAGTTATTTGAAAAAAGTAGTTAAATTAAACTACTAATTACCAAAATCAAGTTGTAATTGAAAGTTACCAAGTTACTCGAAAAAGTAGTTAAACTACAGTAGTTTGAGTAGAGTAGTTGAACTACGTCCAAGTCTGTACCTGATGCACGGAACGTTCCACTTAAAAAGCACATTCAGGGGCAGTATCTAGACGCCTTCAAACGATCGTCGTCGCTGTTTCAGATAACATTCCAGATGATCAACGAAGAACGAACTGCTCCCGGACCGTCATCATGGCAACACACTGCTAGTACAAAACAAATGCGGACTAAAAAAAAAAGGCCCCCGAAAAAACTAAAAAAGGGGAAAACGAAAAAAAAAAAAAAAAAAACGTGTTTGTTTGTACGTTACTTGACCGGCGTGTTGAAAATGGCGACCTTCGACCAGACATGTACAAATTACTCAAAAAAGGTAGTTAAGTTACTGAGTATCGACGCCAAAAGTAATTGGAGTAGAGTAGAAATTACGCATTTGTAATAGTAATTGAGTAAACTACTAACTACTCTAAAAAGTAGCGAGTTACTTTTAAGTTACTTTAGAAGTTACTTTTTTATATTTTTGTGGTAGCAAAATGAACAGCAGTTTTGATCAATGAAAAACCCTGCGAGCCTAAAATAAATGCAGTCTAGTTATAGCTTGCGTTTTCGCCAAAATAGTTTATTCGCTCGCAGAAGCAATTGACTTTCAAAGTTCTTGATAGGAGAGTTTTCCCCTTTTAATTTTAAAG